CACTCTGACCCTTGTTCTTGTTTCATGTCTAATCTCCTGTGTCATGACTGTTAGTGTTGGCATGACATGTTACCTTTCAAGTCCATGGTGCCAACATTAAAATTAGGGAAAGACTTGTTTTAAAAAGACAGCCATGTCCCTACATATTTTCTGTTCTCACAGTCTCCTAAATGCATCTTCTCTTAATAGGAAAAAAAAAAACATTTTTTGCTGTGACATTGTCGAAGCACCTTCTCTGGTTTTCATTTCTTCATTGGCCCCGAATGAGTTATTTTGAGCCAGGTTTTGTTGTGGAGCACCTATTATGTGCCTCCCATGTGTCAGCCATAAGAGGTAGCACAAGGATGCGTTAGGAAATGTTATAAACATCACTCAGCATTATTTAAATGCTATGACTTGAGGATGGGTCTGGCCAGGACAGCAGCCAGGATGGACCAGGGGCAGCACTCCAAGCAGCTGTATGGCTGTTTCGAAGCTGCCACGTACATGGATAAGCAATGCCAGACACAGAAGCACCCAGCTGTGGATTGCATGGAAGTGAAGACCGTCCTCTGGGTGCTTGTCACACCTGTGGGTGTGCCTGCTCAGAGCCTTTCCCCAGTTGACCAGTGACACATGTGAATTGCTAGAGACCAAGGGAAGCTGAGGGCAGGAGGAGCTATTAAAGTGGGGCCAAATCATGCCCTCGGGGCACCAGAGGCAGAGCCAAAAGGTTGGATTTACCATAAAATACAGGAGCAAGCAGAAGACTAGAATTGGAAGACTAAGTCAAGGTAGCAGCAGACCAGGGATACAGTGGCCAAGTGAGAAAAGTCATTGGCCGGGTCAGACTGTGGCCATAGACAGAATCAGGTGTCCTGACCCTTCACCTGCTTCCTTGTACCAGCCTCAGAACAGGGATGCAAACCCTGGAGAAACACTTAAAATAAGGCAGACATTTGACTCTAAAATCTGGGAGCCAGTCCTGTTATCAATGCTTACCTTATCTCAACCACAAGATTCTGGATGCTTCTGCACCCATGCGCCTACCAGTGCACCTGTGTTTCTGCAATTCAGTTCAAGTTCAACCCCCTTGAAGAGCCGGCCTGATTAAAAACTTACAGGAACAGACTTGCCCCTCCCTCGCCCCCAGAGAACACCCTTCTCAGAGGGCTGTCACCCTCTGTTGGTGTACATGACACACAAGCTGAGCCTACCTGTCCCAATGGAACCTCCTCCCCACTGCACTGTTGGACATTGGCCACTCAGCTCATCCCCCTTGTCCCGCATCGTCAGGTCACCGATAACATGATCCCTCGGTGAACAGTCAGCCATGAGTCAGTAAATCTGGTCAGTGACACCAGGGAGCTGCGCTTTCATCTGCCCTGCTGCCAGAGGACTCTGATTGCTCCATTCAGGACAGCGCCTCCCCCCCCCCCCCCCGCTTCCTACCCTTGAGTGGCAGCTTTTCTTCCTGACACAACCCCCGTGCACACATCTGAATTCATGTCTCCCTGCTCCTCAGCCCTCAGGTCAGAGTCCTCGGCCCCGTACCCCACCTTTCAGTCTTCCACAGCCCGCACCTTAAGGGAACTTGGAACCATGCCCCTAAGGTGCCTGCTGAAGGCCTTGGTGAACATGAATGGGTGTCAAGGCTGTGGATTCTCTGTCCTACCTGATTAATAGGAAAGAGACCAGAGCACAGAGGCACAATTCCCCGCAGGTCCCCACGAACATGGGTGGAAACTGTTTACCGAACATGTCCTCTATATTGGCCACTGGGTTAAGCGCCTTTACCAACAGAATCTGGTTTTGCCCTTATTTTCAAAGTTTTGCATGTGTGTGAAGAAAATAGGCTTGGCCGGCCAAGAAACATGCTCCGCTTACAGTTCAGATTGGCTGCAATGCAGGTGTTTTCCAGCCTGAGATTTTTCAGGGGCTTGTCTGTATTCTTTCTCTTGGCCTCTTTAACCATTTCTAGAACTTCACCTGCACATACTCCAGTGTGTCATACTCCAGGCTCTCAGGTGGGTGGGCTCGTGCAGACCCCAGCACCGCTGCCACAGCTGAGCAGGTTCAGATCTCTTATAATTGACCAGGGAGTCTACAAACGTTCCCTGGTTTTTCAGTTTTCAGACCTGTACTTGTCCCCACACGTTAACAAGTGAGAGAGGCTCGAGCCGCATACCTGTGCACACCTGGCGTGGGCTCAGATAAGAGCCTGTCATGGCCCTCTTCGGTCTGTCAATGTGAGTTTTGCGATAACAAGGGACATGTGTCGTGGTTGTATCTTCTGATAGTTTTAGCAATTCTTGTCACTTTTGGCACTTCTTGTCTGATTTTCCCGTTTTGGTGAACACAGGTAGCAGCAGGTAGGAAGCACTGCCTCTTTGAAACCCAGCAAAATGTGCATTTGACGTGAGCGTCACCCGCCACCCCAGCTGTGCTAGTGTTTCTGCACGTCTGTTTCCCCCCCTCGGTTGCCAAAGTGCTCCTTTCGATAAAGGTGCCCATCACATCCATCCTTTTAACTTTTCTGAGGCTTCCCCTTCACTGAACATACATTCAGTTCTTCTCGAGACATTTCAGGGCCCCACACCCTGGCCACTCCCTGTCCCTGGGCCCTGTGACCCCTTCCTTGCTGCCACTGACCTTCCTCCAGAGGCACAGCCTCATGCCCTCCCTTGACTTGCAGGCACTCTGGCACTCTGTCCGGAATATTCTGCCCTCTGTTTCTCCCCATTTTCTAGGTCTCAACCTGCATGCCACCCTGCACAGGCCAGCTCTGCCCATGGTAACTGCCTGCAGGCTCACATCAGCCACCTGCCTGCTTGTCTTCTTGGCCCTCCTGCTATTTAAAAGCCTCCTCCTGCCCCACTTGTGACTTAGCTGCTCGGTCCCCCTTATTTCCTGTCTGTCTCCCTCACTGGCATAAACTTCAGGGGTCCAATCTCATCTAACTTCTCTATCAAGGCAGCCCTGGGAACAGACTGTCCACACTGACCCACTGGCTGGGGTTGCAGCAGGGAGCTTGCACTCTTGAGGGGGACAGAGAGGCAGGCCAGTGACTCCTCTTCCATCCCAGTCAGAGATGCGTGGAGCAAACCCCGCAGTGTGTTCACTGATTTTTATGTATATTATGTGTACGTACCACAACTCTAAAATAGTCTGTTTATTAGATGACATACACAACTAATAAGGGATAAGTAATCTGTAACAAAACTTTTAAAATGACTTTGCTTTTACTCATAAATGGACATAAACATTTACCCTCCTAAGTACTATGATTGAATAATATGCAAGAGAAGATCAGCATCAGTAGCATTTTAATGAGAGGAATGTGTTTGAAAATGAATCTCTCTGAACAGTTTGGTGTGATGATGTGTGATACATTGACTCAAAGGTCTGGATCTGCATATTTTCTTAATAATTCTGAGATATATATTCCAAAAAAGTTGTTCCTTGATTTTGATGGCTATGATAAAAATTTCCCCAAAATGCAGAGAGAAAAATAGAGGAAGATGATTATTGGCTGAATATGTTTTCCCCACTTCCTTCTAGGTTGCAAGATTTTCATGTTGCCAGAAGAAAGCCTTTCTCTCAAAAGTTGCTTCCTCCTGCTATCCAATTTCTATGACTTTCATGTACCCTCTGAAGCTTAACAGAAAATGTCGGCAGGCTCTCTGGTGTGGACTCACCACTCCCTCCCCACCCTTCCCAGTGCGAAATCCACGACAGTAGGTAGGTGACGTCTGGTGGGGAGTGGGGACTCTTCTTTTGGGGGTGGTCACAGACTACGTATAGGGTGAGCAGACCTCTTCATCTGATGGAAGATGCCAGTTATTTTGTACTTATACAAGACACCCAACTTTGTTTTTAATGATTTTCTTATGTTTTTCTTAAATGTTGGACAGTATTTGATTTCTCTCCTCAAGTGTATTCCCAGTATTTCTCTCACCACCACAGCACCCGGGATCCATCACCATAGTCCCCCATGCTTTTCCCCCCACCCCCCATTTTGACTCCTCTCCTTTCCTTACCCTGCTGTGTGCCTCAGATCTGTGGTCAGCTTGCAAGTTTTGTCTTCCCTAACCCTTTGATCCATTATCCATTTCTCTATATTCCCTAATATAAGTAAAACCATCCAATATTTATCTTTTTCTTTCTGACTTATTTTACTTAGCATAATCCCTTCAGCTCCATCCATATTGCTGCGATTGGCATGCGGTTATCTTTTTGATTGCTGAGTAATATTCCATTGTGTATATGTACATCTTCTTGATCCAGTCATCTGTTTTGGGGGCATTTAAGTTGTTTCCATATTTTAACTATTGTGAATAGGGCTGTAATTTTTTTTTAGAAATAGTGCAGGTTTTTTAATTAGTGTTTTGTATTCTTTGGGGAGATTCCTGGGAGTGGAATTGCTGGATCAAATGGTAGATCCATTTTCAGTGTTCTGAGAAACCTCCACACAGCTTTCCATAGTGTTTGCGCATCCTCTCTGGCATCTGTCGTTTCTAGTTTTATTAAGATGGTGTGAGGTGTGAGGTGACATCTCATTGTGATTTTGATTTGCATTTCCCTGATAATAAATGATGTTGAACATTTGTTCATATGCCTGTTAACCATTAACATTTCTTCTTCGGAGAATCCCTTCTGCCCATTTTTTGATTGGATTGTTTTTATTGTGTTGTGTAAGTTCTCTGTAGATCTTTGATATGAGTCCTTTATCAGTTGTGTGGTGTGCAAATATTTTCTCCCATTTAGTAGGAAAGACACCTGATTTGAAATGAATGAAGGAAAGGACAGATATCATATTTAAACCAGTTAAAGAGTTTATTAGGAGTCTAGCAAGGGCTCTGCATTGTATCTCCAAAGACCCAAAAATTGACAAAGATTTCTTCCAGTTCAGGATCATAACATGCTCTATTACATTTAATGTAATTATTTTTAAATCATATTTCAATGAGTATTTGTTAAAGCATAACACATTATGTAATCAAAAGTAGGTATCACTTGACCCTGTTGTAAATTTCTCATTCTGACTCAGATCACACACTGAGTAAGCAGGCTTTGCAGTCTGGCACTAAGGATCCACCCCAGGAATCCATGCAAGGCTAGTGTTGACACCTGGAAGCTAGTGCTCATAGAAGTTGCTTGCTTTGTCTAAAGCGAGGTCAGAGTTGGAGAACTTTGGCTGAAATAGAGCTATGAGCCCTTCACCTCCTCCTGGCACCAGGGCCTCTAGCACCCAAAGCTGTTGCAAGGCCCGCACCGAGGGCGCTGGACACAAGGGCTGGGCATGCAGGACCTCTCACATGCATTGGTTGTGGCACATGGGTTGCAGGGGAGCCTGGAGACAGAAAACCATTGGGGCAAGTTAGGGTACAATGAGCTGAAGAGATAGGAAGATAGGAAACGTACTTTATGTTCCTCAGACTGCTTCCGACCAAAAGCTTGAAATTTTAAAGTCATTTCCATCCTGAAAATCTCTCATCCCCACAGCAACCTGCTACATTTCTAGGGAAAATAGTGCTAGCCTGATACTCACTTGCAGTCCTCGCTCTCCAGCAGGCCCCGGTACGTGTTGATCTCGCACTCCAGCCGGGCCCGCACGTCCAGCAGCACCTGGTACTCCTGGTTCTGCCGCTCCAGGTCACTCCTGATCTCGGCCAGCTGGGACTCCACGTTGGTGATCATGCACTGCACCTGGGACAGCTGGGAGCTGTAGCGGGCCTCGGTCTCTGTCAGGGTGTTCTCCAGGGAGTCCCTCTGCGTGGAAGAGAGAGAGTCTCAGTCACTCCTGAAGGGGATTCTCCCAGAGGGTTGCCAGGATGCCACAAGCTGCTAGTATTAGGAGGGACAGAGAGACCCGAAGGGCACCCCACTGGTGCCCACTCCCGACTCCCACATCCCGCAGGGGCTGGCAACACCCACCAGGTTGTGCTGGGCCTGCAGCTCGATCTCCAGGGCGTTGACCGTGCGTCTCAGCTCGATGATCTCTGCCTGGCACGTCTGCAGCTGCTCAGAGCTCGACACCACCTGCTTGTTGAGCTCCTCAGTCTGCAACAGCAAAGGGAATGTCCGGGGTCAGACCCTGCCTTTGGGACCCCAGGCCTGGGCTCTTGTGTGTCCAGGGCTGAGAGCCCACCTGGGTGGTGAACCACTCCTCCACGTCCCTGCGGTTGGTCTCCACCAGGGCCTCATACTGGCTCCTGGTGTCGTTGAGCACGCGGTTCAGGTCCACGGTGGGTGCTGAGTCCACCTCCACGTTGAGGCGGTCGCCAATCTGGCAACGCAGGGTGTTGACCTCCTGCAGAAGGAAGGGAATTTTTTAAGTGTTGCAAAGGTGCTCTTCCCTAGGGGATTGCACTTCACTTGTGAACATGGCGTTTTCAGCCATTCACTCCTCCAGGCTCCCTCCAGGCATGTCTTCTGTACTCAGTGACTAACCAGTCCATGGACTCTACTTTGGAACTGTCAGTCCACATCTCTTTCCACTCTGGCATCCAGCATACCCTTTGCATTCACAGAGACAGGTACAGTGAGCAGCCCTAGAGCTTAGATGTCAAGGACCACCAGTGACATTCGAGGCCCCACATACCGGTTCCAGTGCCACCACTTATGTTTGACTCCTAAACATGGCTAATAAGAAAGAGTCCAGCCAGAGGAAGTAAAGTATGCCTCAAGATCTGCTGTCTTAGGATAGAATAGTCCTAACTGGTTATTTATTTATTCTTTTAGTATAGGTGTAGCTAAAGGAGTAATTATCTGTTTATTTCACTGCTAATCACATCACAGGACAGCAGCTTAGTGCTTGGGCTTGGTAGATGGCAGACAGATTTGAATGGTTTTCATATCTACACCTAATGTATAGTTTCTAGAAGCTTCTAGAAACCTCAGTTTTTTCATGCAAAATGAGCCTGATCTGTGGGGTTCTAGAGTACTTAGCACAATATCTGACATATAGCAAGCACTCAGTTAAGTTTAACTCCTACTAGTTACATTGTCCAGGGATTAAGCTTTGAACAAAATATTTGTCTCCTTTATTGTGCTTCTGACTGAGCAGTGCTTCCTCAGGCAACACCAAATGGCAGAAACAAACCCTGGACAAGCTCAGCCCTCTCTGCTGTGCAGCCCACTGGCCTCCCTTGGTGGGGGAGAGAATTTGAGATAAGGTGTCCTCAGCTCTGCAAGCATCAATCTGGGAGCATAAGCTACCTCATAGCTGACCTTGCCTCATTATGGGTCTTGTCAGCGTCCTTCATGCTGGCAGGAAAATCCAAATCTTGTTATCACTAGTGTTTAAATTACTCACTCTCTACAAATCCCATTTGTTTGGAAATGGGATTCCTCACCAGGATGGAATTCCTCTCTTGTACCCGGGGCTCTTGGATGCAGGCCAAGGGCAAGTTTGAGCCTGTTGTTCTTGAGGACCTTACCTGCTCGTGGTTCTGCTTGAGACACAGCAGCTCCTCCTTCAGGGACTCCACCTGGGCCTCCAGGTCAGACTTGCACAGGGTCAGCTCGTCCAGGATCCTGCGCAGGCTGTTGATGTCGGACTCCACCAGCTGGCGCAGGCCCATCTCTGTCTCGTACCTGTGGTACAGGGAGTCAGGGACAGGTCTGGTCTGGAATCCAGTTTGGTTTGGTTTGTCAAAGAGCTGGGAGTTGGGGCTTGTTATTTGCACAGCAGTCTCAGCCTTTAGGTTTTCACCACAAGCAGTAGCTCCTTGAGGGCAGATACACTGGTAATACCTTTTTTATAAATAGTAAGCCAGTGGATTGAAGGGGATAGAGGCTCATAAAGTGAGATTTCCAAAAGTAGTTCATATCTGGCGTGCTCCCGATTGAATTCTGGGCATGGCAGAGCAACAGGGCACCATGAGCTACGCGGACTGTACCAGAAGTCCTGGGCAGAGGAAAAGCAGGAAGAGAAGACAGGCTCTGGAGAGGGGTCTCTGGGCCCTGGTGAGAAACGGGTCTGGGACACGGCAGCTGGGGAAAGCGCTGTTCGTGTTCCTCAGAGTTGAGGACAGGCTGAGGGGTGGGGTGGCGAGGGAAGACAGCACCCCTGCTGCCCACATACTTGGTCCGGAAGTCGTCAGAGGCCAGCTTGGCATTGTCGATCTGCACCACCAGCCTGGCGTTCTCGGACTTGGCACACAGGATCTAGAAGACCCAAAGTGTTTTCAGAGGTTGGTTATTTTCAGCAATCCCTACTAATTCTCTAAGGTGGAAGGAACAGAGTGAGAAATAACATTGGATATTATGTAAAATCATTAAATACTGTCCATGTGCAATAAATACTTGAGAAATTAAATATTAAAAAAAAGCAACGAAAAGGCCAGGAAAATAGCAGCAGACAAATGAATGTTATTTTCTCCCCTAGTATTACAGAGAAGCTGATAGTAATGGTATCCATTTATTTTGAAAAAACCTCTGTACGTGTAGCATGATTCTAAGGACTGAAGACATAAAAATACAAGTATTAGATCCTGCCCTCAGGAGTCTTCCAGTCCAAGGGGGATGATAAATACGCTAGCTTGCGTGAGCGGGGCAGAGAAGCAGCCATCCTGGACACTCTGTGCTCAGGAAGCTTCTAGTTATGCTGGGTTTACCCAGGAATTTATGTCCTTGTTGGACTTGTGTATCAGGACAAGCCCAGGACACATCGGGCAGGATGATAGATCAAGATAACGAGGTGTCTAGGAGAGGACAGCGCCAAGAAGCCAAAGTCCAGACGAGGGAGCAAAAAAGGTCCCATTCCTTACAAAGAGCCCGCTTCCTCGGCTTCCTGCTGGCCTCCTTTTCTCTCACCTCGGGGTAATAATTCTACCCCATGTCATAGGCGCAGAAGCATCTGGAGACAGCTTTTAATTACACCTTATTTATGCAAAGTGCAGCTGCCTCCACAGAGACTAACACTATGCAAATGTTCTGACCTAACAGTCCTGGGCCTAGAGTAAGACGGGCCCTTGAGAAAACAAAATAACAGCTACAACCAGTGTGGCTCAGTCACCCCGATCTCCTGTTGTTTCTAAATCATATTCTTTCCCTACAACTTCCCCGGGGAGGTAACGTGGTGCCCGCGCCCTCACCTTCTGCTGCAGCTCCTCGATGGTGCGGAAGTAGGACTGGTAGTTGGGGCACACGTAGGGCACCTGCTGCTGGCAGTACTCCTGGATGCGGCCCTCCAGCTCCGCGTTCTCGCGCTCCAGCTGGCGCACCTTCTCCAGGTAGCTGGCCAGGCGGTCGTTCAGGAACTGCATGGTCTCCTTCTCGTTGCCGTTGAAGGCGCCCTCGCACAGCCAGCCGCAGTTGCCCACGTTGGCGGGGATGTTGCAGGCCCCGGGCAGGGTGCAGCCGTGGCAGCTGGGGGCCACGCAGGGCCGGGAGGCGCAGCTGGAGCGGCAGCTGAAGGTGGGCAGACAGCAGGTGTAAGGCATGGTGCTGGGAGGGAGCAGGGAGCCTGGTTGAAGGTAGATTCCAAGTTCTCCAAGACACTGAGCTGTGGGCATCCTCCTCTGGGGAGCATTTATACCCCTCCAGAGAGGGTGTGGGCATAGAAGGCAGTCTTTTTTTCTTACTCATTTGGTGATTGTCAAAAGCCCTTCCCCTCAATTTGTTGTTTCCTCAGAAGAGTCCCTCACCTCATAAAAGGTTTTACTTGGGCTTCTTACTATGTCAGGACTCCTGCTGCATGCTGCACAGCAGTGAAGTAAGAGCTTCATAGTGTGGCTTCAAAGAACTGTACCCATGAAAGCCTTGGCCATCATTAGTGGGGTGTGGTGGGGCTGGGGACACTGTTGTTGCTTTGCTTCCTGACTTGAGGGCTTGACACCTTGGCAAGCCTTGGATTCTTCTCACAGAGATGGAAAAGCATACCTCTTGCCCATGTAGCTTTTGCTAGGGTCAAGTTTCCAAAAGTCAAATTCCAGATTCACAGTTCTCAGAAAGAATAGATCCCTGTAGAAGGGTGCAGAGTCTGGGCCCTGTGGCACTGCTTCTAGGGGTGATGGGCATCATCTGGGTCCCTGACCATGTAGTCAACCTATAATAGATGTTTGCCAGGACCAGGGTCCGTGAGGAATGGAAGCTCAGGCTGGGCAACAGTCAGAAGCTGCCAGTCATTGAGAACCTAGATGGACCCCAAATCTAGAAAACCACAAACACAATCATAGCAAATGACACTATCCCCATGTTACAGGGCATGGAGACAAGGGCATGGACTATAGGGGTGATATGTTAAGCCAGGGTTCCACGACAGATCTCTGTTCTTTCCGCCATACATGCCTTCAAGGTGAATGAAATTTCACCTTCCCCAACTTCTTCAGATAAGTCCTGTCTTCCTCCTCTGTGAGCTCTCATTTCAATTGAGCATGGTATTGTCAGGACATACAGGCTGATCTCTCTCACTCTGTTTGTCTCTCTGCTTCCCTCCCTCCCTCCTTTTCACCTCACCCCCTTCATTTCCCTAGAGGCATGGAAGGACATGAAGTACTGTGCATGCCTTCTTGAGAAGTTAGGTTTTGTCCTGAGAATAAGCCATTGAAAGTTTAAGGGAGAGGGGTGATATAGTTTAATTCTTGATGATGGGTTCTACACTGGGAAACGTGCAGCTGGTATTTGGAGATGCAAGACTAGAATTTATGGGAGAGATGATGGTGGCCAGTGTGATCCTAGTGTGGGTGTGAGAATTGAGAGATGAGCCAGGGAAGAGCAGGCAGAGAACAACAAGGGGCTGGGGCCCATACTTAAGGGAATTCTCCAACTGGAGAGCAGGAGAAAGAGCAAGAGCCATGGAGAAGTAACAGGAGAAAATGAGAACCTGCTCATGGTGTCACAGAAAAATAGGGAGGAGAGAGAATCAAGGTGGAGGTGAAGGTCAAAACTGCCAAGTGTGGAAGAGACCATGAAAGATCAGAACCATGGAGGGTGAATATGGAGCAAATGACAATTTGGTGATACTGAGTGAGGTTCCCTGTTGCCTCGCCCATTTTAATCATGGTTTCCAAACTGATGGCACAATTGTAGCCCATCAGATCGAATTACAGCCCACCAGTTGCAGCAGCTTAGAACCATCTGGTGAAACAGTGGTGACCCCCCTCAAGAGCAATACACTTAGTCAAAATAAGGCATGCAAACAAGGTCATTACAGAACTTAAAATCATTTTAATAATGAGGACAATTGAGAGATAAAAAGAACCACAGTTCAACACAGACGCTTTTAAGTGGTTGAATTATTATGCTTTTTTTATCTCCTGTATACTATTTTGTTCTCTCATTTTTTAAAGAAGGTATATATTCACTTCTGCACAAGAAAAATGTGTGTTTATGTTAGAAATTCTAAAAGGAGATTCTTACAAGTCTTCTAAAGAACTAAAGAGTTGTGAAAGGATGCAGCAGAGGCTCCCTGTCCCTATACAATCACCACATTGCACTTGAGCTTGCTCCTAGAAACAAGGCCTTGGTCGTGATTGACATTCACAACCTGTGATAACTGCTGACTTGGCCGATTCTGCAGGTGAGCTGTTAGGCGGGGATGAAGGGAAACCAAGCTTCGTGTAGCTCATGAATTGACCGGCGTGTGCATCTGAGTGCCAGGTGCAGAGAATGTCAGGAGGAACAGCTCCAACAGACAGCTGGCCACTGTCCAGGAAGCTTGGGTGTCAGGCTCAGTTCACACCGGGCTGTAACCATGAGCTCCCCTCGTGTGCATTAGGATGCCAGGATCTCCTTTCTGGAAAGTGTGCCTAAGTCAGATGAAGCTTAATTGTCAGAATGTTAGGGCTTCCAAAGACCCACATGGTCATCTTCCCCAACCTTCATTTTTCAAATGCGAAAACATTGACCCAAAGGGGCTGTGACTTTCCAAGCTCACACAGAGTACGGACGAGATGAAAATGGAAAAGTAAATTAGAGTCTAAAAATGATGTACAGAGGACAAGGTTTTCAGTATGATTGAACTGAAACTCCAACCACTGCAAAAAGCCACATCTCTCAAAAGCCTGCCTCAGTGACAAGGTGAACTAGAAATCTGTATATGCTCACCCTCACAGCAACATTTTGAAAAGAAGAGGAGCACTACACCATCAAGTTGGGAAAAGGAGACATGGGGTGAAGGATGAGTAAAGGTGCATTTTTCATCTCAACCCATACATTTTCTTTCTTAAAAAATCCAGCAACCTGACATAAATACAGCACCAGGGAAATATGCCTTACTTCTATTTTGGTTGTGGGTTTATAAGTGTCTTTTGTTTGTTTGTTTGTACTTTTATATGTTTGAAATACTTCATCACTTAGAATAAGAAATAGCAGTATTGCCTTGTTTCACTGTGGGACAAATGAGAGATCCTTGACAGTGGACTTTATTTTTTTTTAAGATTTATTTATGCATACAGTACTGAGGTTTAGGCTAGAGGTGCAGGGGTGGTGAAAGGCTTCACCAGAGACAGAGTGGGGAGCAGAACAGGCAGACTGACAAAGTACACTGCCGAGGGGAGCAGCAGGAGAGACAGGAGAGGTCTGCTGCACCATGTGGGTCACCTCCGGGGCCAGGGATCAAACTCGCACCGAAGCAGCCATGGCCAGCTTCGCAGTGCTGTGCTTTAACCTGCTGCGCCACCAGGGAGGGCCGACAGTGGACTTCTAAGTCATCAGTCTTGCTCAGTACATGAGTTACCTATCAAGATACCTAGGAAGACCATTTGGGTTTATCCTAAGAAAAAGTTTCTCTAACCCCCCCTGCTCTTTCCCACCAAGGAAACCCCGGGTTAGAGACACAGACCCAGAACAGCCCCTCTAGACCTAGATGGACACAGTCCTGCCTCACACAGAAACACAGTTTTATTGAATGCTTTTCACATTGGACGATAAGAACAGAGTGTGTTTACTGTGTTGAGAAGTTTGACCTGTGGCTTATAGGCAGAGAGCAAGGTGTTTGGGAGAGGCCTGTCCCTGTTTGGGAGAGGCCTGTCCCTGACAAAGGAGGCTGTTAGTCGCATGGCAGGTGATGTTCCCAGCAGGTATGGTAAGCTAGTGGGAGACATTGGACAAGGGTGTTTTTATGAGACCTGGAGGTGGCTTCTGGGAGTGAACTGGAAGGTGGGGGTGCTGTCTGCAGAAGTCGCTCAGTTACCTTCTGGGGTCTCCTGGCTGAGGCCCGGAGGAGGACATTCCAATAACAGTGGGAGAAACAATACAAGAGCTACAGGATGGGAGGGCAGAAGGGAACCCTGACACTTCAGCATCATCTCAGGCAAACATGATGCAGCTGAAGTTTGGCCAAAGACTGGGCCTGCTCCGGAAGCTGGTAACCATGGCCATTACCCCGTGGGCACCAGTAAGGGCAGGGCCCGGCCAGGCAGTCACGTTCCGCATCAGCAGAGACCATAGACTAAATCCCCAGTGGGTTCTAAAGAACTTTGGAGAAGTGGGGACCCAAAACTCAGCCCTAGGGCTTCAAAAATTCAAATGGAAAGAGAAACACTAACATCTGTTAGCTACTACTCAAAAATAAAAGATGACTTGTTTTATTATTATACATTGTCCAATATTTCCCAGAGAGATTTTGGAGACATTTGGGGGTATTTGATGTTATACCCCCAAATCATCTTTCCCAGGGTGAGTTGAAGAATGTGGAGCTCTGCTGGGCTTGTGTGCAGCCAGTGTTAGGAGCTCATAATCCATCTCAGAAGTCACCCCCATGGAGAGTCAGCTCTGGGGTCAGCCCCACTGTGGCCACTTACTCTGTGAACCCGAGAGCACTGTGTGGTTCCTGGTACTTGGTTGGCTTTTAGTAATATTAGTTCTTCTTCTAGGGACTTGGAAAAGAAAAGCTGGAACTTTCTAGAGATGGCACCCGTTGTATTTTACTGAGCAGGTCCCATCATGAACATGTTTATCATATTCAGATGAGACCTCTTGCCTTGGTTACCTTCTGCCTGAGTAGACTCTGGGACTCCTGGTGTGTAATGAATGTTAATTAATGGTGATGAAGAGCCTTAAGCAGAGGATTAAACTCCATAGTCCTCCACTGCTTTCAAGTGGCTTTAAGAGAAGCTCCTACACAGAGCAAACACTTTGAAAAGCATGAATACAAATGAGAATCATCTCTGCTTTGCAACAGGAAAGTTTATTAGGAGATTTACAAAGGGATTTAGGGAGGTGCAAGGAAGGTAAAGCAGAGGGAACCAGAACACCGACCCAGCCCAAACCTGTCAGACAGTCAGGCCCAGAGTCACAAGAGGGCAGCCCTGAGTGGGGAGCGGGTGGGCCTGGGCACAGCAGGGCCACACCCAGGCGTGTGTTCTCTAGACGCGAATGATCCTGATGCCTGGGCTCTGGTCTTGTGGCCAGTGGAAGTCAAAGAAGCAGACTGGCTCCACAGTGGTGGTTCTGTCTCCTGCCAGTCCTGCCTGAGTACCGCAGAGACCTAGCACCCGCAGCGAGGGCGCGGGCCACAGGGGTAGCAGGGCCCGCAGGAGCCGCCGCTGGCGTTGCTGGTGGCGCAGGGGTTGCTGGGAAGCCTGGGGGAACACAGGTGAGGAATGGGTCAGAGAGGAGGGTGGAAGAAGCCTAAGGTGTGGATCACACAGCCTGTGATTCACTGCAGGAGTTCGCTGCAGTCCACCTGGACTGTTACCTAAGCCCTCCCCTGCCCCAGATACCATGGCTGAATTGGAAAAAATCAGGCACCTGGCACACTCTTCTCACTCAATAGCTACTGCTGTAAATCACTGTCGCCCACCACCCTTCACTGCTCACTCTCTGAGGCAGGCTGTGCCCTACCATCTTACAATACTAAGGAGTTGTTTCCTATTCATTAAAAGATCCCATGCGGGGCCCTCCCTGGTGGCGCAGCAGGTTAAACCACAGCACTAAGAAGCTAAAGCCACTTCCGCATGAGTTCAATTTCCACCTGCCCCGGAGGAAATCCACATGGCAAGGCAGACGACTCCTGACCCGTCCACTGCTCCCCTCAGCAGTGTGCTTCATCAATCTGCCTGTTCTGCTCCCCTCTCTGTCTCTGGTGAATCTGGTCACAGCCTGCCTGTGACTCCCCGGGTCGGCTCAGCTGCAAAGAGCAGACACTGCATCGACGTGTGCTGCTTGCTGATTGAAACATGGCTAACGTGACCTTGGCTGTGCCTGATGGTCCCACCACGCTTTCCCGGAAACCTTTGCCTGCTACTCACTTGCAGTCCTCGCTCTCCAGCAGGCCCCGGTACGTGTTGATCTCGCTCTCCAGCCGGGCCCGCACGTCCAGCAGCACTTGGTACTCCTGGTTCTGCCTCTCCAGGTCACTCCTGATCTCACCTAGCTGGGACTCCACGTTGCTGATCATGCACTGCACCTGGGACAGCTGGGAGCTGTAGCGGCCCTCAGTCTCCGTCAGGGTGCTCCCCAGGGAGCTCCTCTGTGTGGGGAAGATTGAGAATGTCTCCCAGTCACTCCTGAAGGGGATTCTCCCAAGATGCCACAAGCTGCTAGTGTTAGGAGGGATAGGAAGACCTGAAAGGCACCCCACTGACACCCACTCCCCAACGTTCCACATCCCACAGGGACTGGCAACACCCACCAGGTTGTGCTGGGCCTGCAGCTCAATCTCCAGGGCTTTGACCGTGCGTCTCAGCTCGATGATCTCTGCCTGGCACGTCTGCACCTGCTCAGAGCTCGACAACACCTGCTTGTTCAGCTCCTCGGTCTGCAACAGCAAAGAGGACGCCTGGGGTCAGACCCTACCTGCAGTGCCCAGGCCTGGGCTCTTGTGTGTCCAGGTCTGAGAACCTACCTGGGTGGCGAACCACTCAGCCACATCCCTGCGGTTGGTCTCCAGCAGGGCCTCATACTGGCTCCTGGTCTCGTTGAGCACGCTGTTCAAGTCCACATTGGGGGCAGCATCAACCTCCACGTTGAGGCGGTCGCCAATCTGGGAACGCAGGGTGTTGACCTCCTGCACAAGAGGAAAAAGGAATGAACCCACAGAAAGAAGTCTATGAATTAACTCAGAGAGTTCAGTGTGGTGGACTGAGAATTGCACTAGAGTTTCAGACACTTCATCTGAAGCCCTGTTTATTGAAAGCACAGTTAATCTACCCTTGTGATTCAGGCTTCCTGTCTCAGTCTCTCTCTCCATCTATATACAACTGGAGGATTAGAGAACTGCTGGTGTATCTCCCCAATTCCAGAACTGTTTCTTTCTAACATTCCCTTTGCTTATTGATAAATCTAGCACGATACTGGTTCATAATCATTACAACTTAAATACAGAAAGACATAATTTAACTCTTCCCCTTTCTTTTGTTGATCTACCATCTTATAGTACTAACGAGTTGTATTGTATCCTATTCATTAAAAGATCCCATGCTGGGCCCTCCCTGGTGGCACAGCAAGTTAAAGCACAGCACTAAGAACCTAAAGCCACTTCGGCATGAGTTCGATTCCTGCCTGCCCCAGAGCAGATCCACATGGCGAGGCAGACTGCTCCTAACCTGGCTGCTGCTCCCCTCAGCAGTGTACTTCATCGATCTGCATGTTCTGCTTCCCTCTCTGTCTCTAGTGAATCCTCTCACCATCCACATCTCTGGCCTGTACCCCAGTTCCATATAAATAAATAAATTATCTTGCTGGAGAAGCCAATCTCATTTGTTAATATCAGCCATGAGGTCCCAATCAAGTATTGTTAGAGTTCCTTCAGTTGTCCACTCTTCCCATCGTCCATCCACCCACCCATCCAGGCTGGGTTCTGTCCACCCAGGTGCCACATATTACAGAGAGCTTTGCTACCCTCTCCAATCGTGGTCACCATTCTGGCATGCGATCTGAGGATAATAGATCCTACCCAAGGCAGAAAGTAGTTTAAAGAACCAGGTGAGACGTTGGGCACACATCTGACCCCAAGTAAAAGTAGACCCACTGATCATACTATTAGACAGCCAGAAAAACATCATATGAGCTCCTAGATGCTTTGAAGGACTGCCTTTACCCTGCTTGGGGCAACGAATGGAACTGTCCCCACAAGGGCTGGAAGCTGGAACTCGCTCACCTGCTCGTGGTTCTGCTTGAGACTCAGCAGCTCCTCCTTTAGGGACTCCACCTGGGCCTCCAGGTCAGACTTGCACAGGGTCAGCTCGTCCAGGATCCTGCGCAGGCCGTTGATGTCCGACTCCACCAGCTGGCGCAGGCCCTGCTCAGTCTGATACCTTCATGCACAGGTCAAAAGAGAAGTCAAAGAGGAAGACTGTATCTCCTTAACTTATCTCACCTAGACAAATTCATTATATTTTGAAATTTTTGGTGTTTTGAAAGACAATGGTAAAATAACGAAATCCATTTCCTCCCTGACAGCCACAGGAAAGGCCTTAGTGGGCACCTCTGTTTACTTTCAAGCCAGTATTAACTGTGCTGCCAGAAGCCCATTCAAAGTCACCATCAGCTGCGCCCCTTTGTCTTGGCTCTGACCAGCCTCCTCTGTCCGTTGCCCCCGAAGCACCTAGCGCCGGGAGAGGGGCACTGAGCAAGAAGCGACTCACATCCAGCCATGGGGACTGTGGGTAGGTGCCCTGACACCCCTGAATCTTGGTTTCCTCATCCCTAAAATGGGGACCCAACTCATACTTTTTCAGGTCATCGTGAAGACAAAGAAGCAAGAATGGAAAAATCGCATGGTAAGCTATAAAGGCCCATAAGATGCAAAGGATTCTTTTGACTGTCAAAGCTAAGCCTGGAGAAGTTGCTTCGCCAAAATGGATTTTGCAGCCTGTGTTTGAGGTTAAATCACTTCTTTGTGATTGTGATTGTGACTAAGACCCGCATATGAATCTCACTTTTGAACTTGCTCCAAATGTGCAGTTGAAAAAGAGACCAAACTGGGTGGTTTCTTACACTCCTTCAAAGTAACTTGAAACTCAGGGTTCTTGCACCGAGGAACCCAAAGCCAGCATCCTCCCAAAGCTGCCCCAGGCGGCTTCTGTTCCAGCCTCAGGACAGAGTCCATCCCCTGGCAGCTGCTCGCCACTGCTGGCCCGCTCTGGAGCTGTCACTACTCACTTGGTCCTGAAGTCGTCGGCGGCCAGCTTGGCGTTGTCGATCTGCACCACCAGCCTGGCGTTCTCAGACTTGCCGCTCAGGATCTAGGGACAGGAACCATGGTGGAAGGAGTGATGCTTTTGAATAAGACCAATTCACGATCAGAGGGAAGGGGTGGGGAGGTCAGGGAACGAGGTTATAGTGGAGGCTAGACTAGGACGTTGATGCCGTAATCACACATTGTGACTCCCAGTGCTGAATACCTGAAACCTGCATAAGGTACACTGCAGTGTTCTGTCAGTAAGAGAAAACCTTTAAAATAAATAAGTATTAAATATATAAACCTGAGAAAGAAAGCAAATGAGTTATGCTAAGGATGCCCAGTGCCCTAAACTGGCAATCTGTTTACTTCCAGCCACAGTCCTTCCAAGTGGCTTTGAGTCTTGTCAGATTTTCAGTTTCGAGATGAAGTTGAGGATTCAGTTACAGGGCTGACAGTTCATAGCTGTAACAGCCCGGGGGACAGTGGCCTTTGTTGTGAATTCTCTTGGTCTGTCTCTGGCTTCCTGCAGTGATTGAGCACACTGGGCAGTGAGCTTCACCTAGGGCCCCAGTTTGCTAAAGACTAGGGGGCTCTTGGGGTGCTAAACCCAGAAAATTCCCAGGCAGACCTGGGCACCTGGTCGCCCCACCCTCACACCACCTTCCCTCCGGCCCTCGGCGTCTCCTCTCTCCTCCCAGTGACCTTGTGCACACTGAACTTGCTTTCATTGTGAACAAGCTTGCACACTGGACGTCTCTCCCCACTGGAATGCCCTGGAAGTCCTCCCCCAGCACCAGACTCCTCGCATAGCCCACTTCTGCCCTCTCCCAGCTCCTCCTCCTCCGCCACATGTTCCAGCAATGCTTTGCACATCCAGGTCCTATTCTTAAAACCTCCTCTCTGGCCATTTGCTCCTTCGTCTCTCTCCACCTTAGACTGTGAGCTCTGGAGGATGAAACCTCCTTAGTATTCCGTCCCTCCTGCCAGTGTTGATGCTGGCACTTGGAGAATTGGGCAAATGACTGCACCGTGTTCAAATGCCGCGGCTTCTTCCTGTACTCACTTGGCCAGAAATACAGAACAGAGCTCGGTCTGTCCCCTCGGAGAGTCCAGGGTCCGTGTAATTGGATGTGAACTCTCCTCCTGCTCCCAACCC